TTTTATCATAGATCAACACCACATGTAAACAACACAACTAAGTCAATACATCATATGTGCAACACAACAACTATATGCGTCATCACGTAATTCAATTAGGAGAACTCTTACACCATAGGTGAGTAGTCTAAGTAACTAGACCCTACTAAACCAATCAACACAAATGATCTTTTTGGATTTGCTGGATCAACAACAAATTCGAATATCAATCCATAACACATACATGATCTCTCGGATATCACCACTTAAACTAAGAAAGTCTGGTTCCAGCGTCAAGACTAGTATAGTTGGATATAGGCGCACCATGACCTTAACATGCATTACCAAGTCCCTTATGGAGTTAACCCAATAACTAGCTACAAGAAACCACACAACTTCTCCAGTAATCAATTAAAGGTAGTAGCCCTTAATTTGAAACTTTACTCAACATCAACTAAGAACATAAAGGAAACTCAACTTTATACTTCAAGGGTCAACTTCTCAAGAAGGGTTTCAATAAATTGGACTATCAAAACATCACGACACAATGTCTACACAATAGGACATGCAACTTTTAAAACAACCTTTCCTCTAGTTGTCACACCTTAAATTTAATACTAAATATATATATTTCTTATAATTACATTACATATCATTCTAAAATATTTACAATAAGATACTTATTTACATACTATATATTCTCTACTTTTACTACAGTATTTACATATTAGGTTGAAATAATTTTACAATTGGGTTAACATGATTGGCTGGGGTAGGTAGAAGGTAACTATTAAAAGACCATCAATAACAGTGGAAATTTCTTGGTTTAGAGAAAAAAGTAAAAGTTGATAATGCTATACTGTGAAAAGTAACAAAATTGGCAACCACATTGATGGTCCAATTTGTTCTAGAAAATACGGATAATATAATTGAAGGAAAAAAGTCAGGTATGTCGGGTAGATCCATCTATTTTACATTATAAATGATTTAGTTTTAAAACAAAGAAAAATAAGGAGAGAGAATAATTATCCAATAATTATAATAATTAAATAAAATGCATAGAAATATTTTTAACCAATATTAAGTGAATATATAAATCCTTCTGTTTTAATAAAAAATTGAATTATTTTTGTACTGACTAGTCAGGATAAATGAGTTTATCATAATATCAAACAATAAAAGGATAATTCATCTTAAGTTCTTTACTCATTTAAATCCCCAAGGTCAAACTTCTAACTACAAATTAATTCAAATTTTCATTCTTATGGCCATAGATTAACATTTATCTTTAATGAATAATGAACGAAGATGAGATTAAGAAAAATTTAACAATACTAGACTATAGTTAGAAAAAAAAATTAAGTTAAATAAATTTACTTATTTATAATTTATTATAATATAGTTTACAAAAATGGAGTGTATTAAAGAATATTAATCTAGTAAATGACAGTTATAATGATGAAAGAGCATGGACCAAGGGTCCAACCACTAGAGCTATGACAAGGAGACTACTAGAATATTTGACTACTTTAGAGTTTGGTGGGCCCAATGGGCTTGCTGGGCCCAGGTTACTCTTCACATGAGCTTTACTTGGATCACCATCTTTATTGCATATTGAGTAGTATATGATTTCATAATTGTTGGTCTTGTATTATGGACCTTTAGTATAGGACTTTTGGGCCTTAGGCTTAATGGACCTAGTTTTGGGTTTCATGAGCCTTTGGGCTTTTGGTACCCAATATGGAGCTCATTTTGATTCTTGTAATTTTTCCTATTATTTGTATTTGTTAGGCCATTAGAATAGGATTATGCAAGGAAATCAATATTAGGTTTATTAGGCTTAATTTGAGTTTCATTTAGAAGTCATTTGGTTTAAATTTGGGTCACATGGTTAGGCATGGTGGAGGCTGAACATGTGCGCACCAAATTTAACCAAATTACCCATAAATGAAACTTAGATGAAGCTAGAGGCCTTGATTCACGGATTAGCACGTAGCTTACCAAGATTTGAATTTCAAATTCCATTTGAAATTCAAAAATTAGCGCCAATGATGCTAGCTTTGAGTTGGCACCACTAGTAAGCTTTCCACACCTATATATTGATCTCTTTATTCACTTGTAAGCACTTTGAATCATTTTGAGAAATCTAAAAACTATTCAGCCAATTCTCTCTCTCAAAGTCACCCAACGAGTTCATAGTTTTAGCATTAGGAATTCTAAATTTCTAAGCCTTGGCCGTGATCTTTCTTTTGAGTTTCTAGCTAGGATACTTCTATCTTAGCCTAGGGATTCTTCACTTCTTGTTCTAAAGTCATTAATTCAATCTGGAAAGCTTGTTCAAGGAAGAAGATCGAAGTTCTTGGAGAAGGAAAAGGAAGATTGACACTCACTTCACTTGCCTCCTCCATCATATAAACAACATGAAATAATTAAACAACACAAATTAAAAACTCATCATTAATTATTTAACGTAAAAAAATACCATAGTTTAAGCAAATAAACGAGGTTAGGGACACCTCACTAAGTAAATACACATAGTTATAACATAAAATAAACAAATATAATAGTATAGAAAATTTAAAAGGATAAAAGTCACCTCCCCCTTACCTTAAAATTATAAAATTATCGAAATTTAATGCTAAAATTTTCACTTTCCTTCCTTACTCCTTCTCTCTCTTCTTTCTTTTTTCTTTCCTACATACACTTTCCCTCTCTTGCTTTTTTTTCTCTCCTCTGATGATCCCCCTTCCTCTATTTATAGGCCCATTTTTTTTTTTTAAAAAAAAGAAGTAACCATCTAGTTAGATGCATTTAAAGCTTCATTAACTAGAGATAAGTTTTATCTCTTTACATACACCTGCAGTACTTATCTTGTTGTAGGTTTTTTATTTATTTAAAAAAAACCTTTCTCTCCTCTCTCTTTTATATAAACATATAAGGAATAATTATTTGAATATTTATATACTTCATTAATACAATTAAAGTTTTTATAAAAAGATTTAGATTTTAAAAAAATTTATAATGTAATTAAATTTTATATGTCTCCAAAAACAATTATAGCATTAAAAAATAAAACATTATATTTCTATTTATTTTTCAAATATGGTAACTAAAAATTTAGATTATTATTATAAAAAATAAGATAATAATAATAATAATATTGAGTGCATTATAATATTGTACCAAAGGTTCGAAATATTACACTAATTTCTCTACCTGGACTATGGTGGGCGCAATTTTAGCGGTTTCGGATTAGAGTTAGGTAGAGCACTACTAGAAAAATTAAAATTAGAGAGGGAACAAAATCTATCACTAAATATTATAAAATCTGTCACAAAACAAATTAGTGACGGAATTTGTGACGAAACTAATTTCTTCACAAAAATTGGCGTCACAAACTATTTAGTGACAGATAATTTCAGTCTGTCACAATCAGTGACGGAATTAAGGCATCACAAATTCCGTCACTAATTTCTAATATTAAATGTCCATAAATTAATAAAATTTCGTTACAAATTGTGACGAACTTAGTAAAGAAATGTAGCAAGGTGCATACGGAGGTGGAGAGTTACATACTTAAACCCAATTTTTTAAGTTGGAAAAAATCAGTAACTGAACTTGGACTTAGTCAAAGTAGATTTTCTTATCAAAATCATATTAGGTTAGACAGGTATTCATGGGTGCGAGTTTAATTGTCATACTTATGTTTTGTTATTGTACAAAAACCTTTACTAAAGCCTGTCTGAATAAGCTTGTCTAAAATAATTTCTTAGGAAAAAATAAAATAATTTTTTTATAAATTAATTTATATTTTTTTTAGAGATATAAGAGAACTTTTACAAATTAACTTTTGCTTAAGTTAATTTTAGCTTATGAAATATTTTTCTCTTATAAATACTTTTGAAGAAGTTTATTCCCCTAATCGTCTCTATTTTGAATTATTCCTTGAAGTTTACTTGATTTCAAGTAAAGCATATCAATACTATACTCCTAAATCAAAGAAATTTAATATGTTTATGTTTATTTTTCCCTAATGCCTTTGACGAGTGATTAAGGAATGAGATTAATAATTTACCTCCTTTTAAAATATGTTGTGCACTTTTTTTTTACCACGAGAATCGAACACGAGTACCAAAGGATTTATAAAATATATATTTTAAAAGAATGAAGTTGCTTAAAAATTAAATAGTTGAATTTTGAAGATATTGTCTAGAATCTAAGAATAACGTGTTTGTTTTGACCAAAATGTGTGTTTCTAGGAAAATCAACTTTAAGAAAATTGTGTTGTAAAAATAGTATGATTTGAACTCGAGAACGTATTTAGAAAATAGCATGATTTACACTCAAAACCTTACTTAAAAAAATTATCTTCTTTTGACTAGGAATAAAGAGTAGGCATAATAGAAAATTGTATTGTAGGAATAACTTTTCAGTATAATAGTATATTGCACTTCAAAAAAAACTATTTTTTCTAAATTCACTTTAGAATATCATTCCCAAACACAAATCAAATTTTTAAAACTAATTCTATCAAAATCTTAATGGCATACTTCAGTCATTGTGTTACTCAGAATTCAGAATGTGAAGGTAAACAGCATTATATAATCCATGTCCACATTCAAGTTGCAATAACTGGTCATCAAGCACAAAACAATATCCATTCTAAAATTAAATTATTATTTGACATACAAAATATTTACATTCTATGAATGGGAATAACTTGTTGGTTTTTTTAATGATAGGTACGCTTCTTTAATTTCTAGTGCTGTTTTTAATCATAGGTCATGAACCAGAGACTAACATCACAAATGCCTTAGAAACAAAAATCATTGCACATATCTGATACATCAAATTGCTTTGTGCGTAGAGGCTAGTTGTGGAAGACATTTGTGGCATAATTCACACACAGTAGCAGCCAGATCTCCATTTTAACCCAATCTAGCATATTACTTTCCACTACAGGGGATCGCATTAAACACTTTTTCATTTATCTTCACGTTAGTGGAAACAAACAACCATAATAAAAACGATTGAATTTAATAAAGATAACATTAAGTTCTCAAAAGTAGAGATAACATAAAGAAGATATATTTTACATTAACTAGAGCACCTATAAGCTTAGCAGAAAAACCTTAGAGTTGCTACACTAAGATAGTTAGTAGCTCAATGAACAGAATTCTCATCATTATTCTCAGTTTGAGAACCATTGGGCATTGAACTAGCCGTAGGTGAGACAAGACCACCCATTAGCATGTACGAGGAAGGAGAAGGAGGATGTCTTGGAGAAAGGTTAACCATCTCTAAGGCTTGCAGTCTAAGCTCTATAGGGTAGTCAGCAACACACCCAATTCTAGGTCCAGCCCCAGTTGACCATCTATGTGAAAGTTGATGCCCCAATTGGTAGGATTTTGTGGCCTTCTTGGAATTGATTCTGTGCAATATTGCCTTCTTTGGCACATCGGCTCTTGGACTCTGAAGACCACCTGAGAGCGTCCTTTTATAACTGCCAACAGATTTAGGTTGAAGGTCTTCCTTATTTGAGGATGAGGTGTTCTCAGCTTCCTCAGAAACTCCAGCCTCAGGTATAATAACATCACTGCTAGAATCTTCAAATGCAGTGGCTGTTTCACTAACCTTGCCATCCTCATAAGTGTCAATGTCATCTTTTGGATTGCGTATCTGAAACAATGCATCAAAGTCATTCAATAAAATATATGCTTGTGATTATCATCATGTTTTGCAACTAACTATAAATGATCAATGTCTAGTTGAAGAAACATCTATTGGCCTAAACAAGTACTGTAATTAAGTACACAGCAATGACCTGGTGCTAATCAATTACCTCAACTGCATCAAGTTTGACACCATTTTCCTTGAGATATGATAAGAAGGTGTTGAGGGCGTCATCTGTTGGCCGGTAGTGTCCACTATATGCAGAGATGGACTGAAAGGTCAAAAACATTGAGAATCAGACATTTGTCACTTGCCAAAGCACATAAATTGGAATTAGTAAATGTGGTTATCAGTTCCATGTGCATAGCATTTGCACCAAAGAAAAAATTTAATGGGACCGTCACATATTCTTAGAAGAGATCCCACTACCACAAAAAATTTAATCATGCAGCCTATGACGTTAATTATACCTTTAGAATGCCATGCTCAGCCTCCAGCCTACCAGCAGCCAAGGTTGCTCCACCAGCCAAAAAAGAAGAATGATGGAACAATCCCTTCTTTTTCTGAGAGGTTATTACAGATTTTCAATGTATCAATATGGCTGAAAAAGTGCCTGAATAGAAAAGAGAAAATGGAAAATTAGAAGTAATAACTGAGCTTGCATCGTTACCTTGCCGGCATAAAGTTTCTTAGAGGTGCTCATTACAAATATCCACTTGGCATCCTTAGAATCTTCTTTTGTATGAAGAAAATCTCCAGATTGCATGTGGATAATCTTCCCCTCGCACACAGTGTATTCATAGTGCTCTCTCTCTTGCTAAATAGGAAATTGTTAAGAAGGATCAACTAGTCAGAAAAGCAGGAACAGGCAACAACTTTTGAAATAATGCAGTACACGTCAACTAGTCAATACAGTCAACGCCAACTACAATAAACAAAAACAAAAAAGTAATAAGCCCAATCTGCAGGTACACATACAGGTCCTAGATACTTTATGCATTGTTTTCGGAGCTTCGATCTGGGGCATTGTTCAAGATCAAGATTTTTTCCGTTTCCCAAATCCAACCTGTAGAATGAGAAGATAAAAAAAGTTTCAGTAACAAAACCATAACCACGTACCCTCTGATAATTCCATATAGTATTTCACTAAACACCTTAACCCCATTCATGAAAAGCTGCCCTTAGTTTAAACAAGACATGGGAAACAAAATCAAAATTCCCCCTTTCACCTAACCAATGAAATTGGGCACCTAAAAAACCCCTTATTTTATTCATTGGAAGCATGAAAGGCAATAAAATTATGTGAATTAGATGCTGAAGTGTACAGCAACAAACACACTTCCCTGTATCCACAATGGAATCATCCAATATCAATCAAAATCATGGTTTACAATCAATCAAGGTTTTCTTTCAAGAAAATTAGTCTCACCAATAAAAGAATGGCTGACCAGCATCCGTTTTGCACCATTCTTCATAGTAATAATGCAAGTTATGTCCATAGCGGTGGCGTGGATCAATCTACAGTTCAGGTCACAACACCAATCATCACATGAGTTGGTCAAACAAAACAAACTACATATAAATAAATTAAATTAAATAATTTTAAAAAATAGGAAATGCATGCTCACAGCTTCAATCCAATGCTGAAAAGCCAACTTTTGTGCTTTGGCGTCCAAGGACAGACCCTTTCCCACCTGCCAAAAACAGTTAACTTCAGAATCAAACTCACGAATCGTCCTGTTCCTAACCATGATCACAATCACACAGACCAAAAAGCACAACATCTTCCAAACAAAAAAGTACCAATAGCCGTATAGTAACCGTATAACACGGAGAAAAATACACATACAAAACAAAATAAAGAGAAAGAGAGAGAAAAACCTTGGAAGCGTTAAGTTTGACCCTACTCCACCGTGACGCAGCACTCTCAGGCAAATTGAAGAACGAAATAGTGCTGTGGTTCAGCCTCGCGAAATCAATCACTTGCCACCTTCGCAAATTTCAACCCCACTTTTCTCATAATTAACTCATAATAATAATAATAATATTATTACAATAAAAAAAATAAAAATAGAGAGAGCGTTTGCATGCAGAGAAAACGCACCAGAGCTCCTCAGCGACGACGGCGGAATCAGCCAATCTCCGCCGTGTGCGGTAACTCCGGTAGACCTTTTGCACCTTGAGGGCGGCGTTGGTCTGAGGGCACACGCGTTCCGGCGCGTGAGGCTTCAGCGAGTCGTGAGGGGAGAGTGGGAATGTCGGATTCGGGTATTCGGAGCCCCGAAATTGGGGTTGGTGAATGTCGTAAGGGAATGAAGCGTTAGGGTTGTTGGGGTTGACATCGAAGGTGGAGAGTGTGTGGGTGTGAGTCTGAACCTCCATTTTTGTTCAAAGAAAAAAAAAACGTGCAGAATAGAGGAATGAAGGAACCAGAACAAACCAGAACAAGTTCCTGAATCAGCGAGAGAGAGGGTTTTGTGTGTTTGGGAACAACGAGTTTGATCGTTTGACTAAAACGTTGTCGGAAGAGGGAAGAGGCGAGAAAGAAAGCACACATTACAACGTTGGAGGGAGTTAGTTATATGCAGGGCGGAGGAACACACTTACACACTGCGTGTGCATTTATTTTTTTTATTTCCAACTTTATCCTTCTCCACGCGCTACTCTTGTTGTGTGACCCACCCACGCTCGCCTCACACAAGAGACGAAAAAAAATGAAAAATGCTTGTTTTAATACGGTGGTGAGTCAATGAAAAGGGGGTTTGGGAAATCGACCACGGAAGCCAATTTTTAAATTAATTACTCGTTATTAAAAATTTTTACGTTACATAGGCAACTTCATTAATTGATTATGTCAAAGTAGACAGAATAAAACTTTTATTAAATTTTATTAGTTCAATTATTGAATATCTTAATGATTAATACAATATTAATTTTAGAAATTTTAAATATTTGTATGTGTATAGTATAAAAATAAGAATTTGCGTATGTTTTAATAATATTTTATATGTTAAATATAGCAAAATTATTAGGTATTAATTAATGTTTAAATAGCGTGGAATTTTATAACTTAATTTATTTTCAGAAAAAATGAAAACAATGTAACTAATAAAACTTAATGTTTCTAAATAAAATTGTTAAAGACAACATTTTACAAATTTACAACTAATGTGAATTCATTTTGCCATACGCGTGTAGAATTCATTAGAGCCAACTTTTTTCCTTAGTTCATATATATATATATATATATAGAGGACAGTTCAAACGACACCGATGTAACTTTTACTAAGTGTTACACCGCTTAATAATTTTATATTAAATGTGAATTTTGTAAATCCAACCGTTAGATTGAAAGTTCATATCTCTTAGATCATATATATCAAATTTTATATTAATCTAAGATGATTTGATACTTCATTCTCATAAAACAAAATTGACCTAATATATACATTTCAAAATATACTAAAATGTGAACACTTTGATTACCTTCAAGTTGTTGTTCAATTTTAACAAAATTTGACATATATGATCTAAGAGATATGAACTTTCCATCTAACGGTTGGATTTACAAAATTCACATTTAATATAAAGTTATTGAGCGGTGTAACACTTAGTAAAAGTTACACCGGTGTCGTTTGAACCCTCCTCCATTACTAGTGTAAAGTTTATTACACTGACAACCAATCATAATTTTTAAATTATTTTATTTTATTTTTATTTGATTAAATAAGCAAATGACATGACACTATTAAAATATATGATTGGTTGTCAGTGTAAAAAAACTTTACACTAGCAGTGTATAGGTGACTAACTCATGTATATATATATATATATGTATATGTATATATGTATATGTATATGTATATATATATATATATATGTATATGTATATGCATATAGAGGGCTAGAAATCCAAATTAGTATAAAAAAAGTTATAATAGAAATGTCTATGAAAATAAGAAAATAAATTCAAGATAGAGGAGATTTATAAAAATAATAATAATAGTAACTCCTTCAAGTAATGAACGACTTCTCTTAGTAAGACCATCAATTACTTGATTAGCTTCCCTTAAATCAATATGTTGAAATAAGTCGGTCATACTAACCATCTCAATAACAACAATATAGCACACATGTCCCCAATTACAACCTTTCTTTAGAAAATTAACTATCATTGTAGAGTTTGATTATACAATTCCATTTTAAAAAATATATTTGTCTCTTATGATCTTCAACCCATAATAAATGGTCCATAGTTCTGCTTGCACCACCAAACAAGACCCCAACTCAAATAAGCAATAATAAATCTTCTATAATGATCCTGAAAAATACCTTTAAAAGAAGCAATAGCATTTACCGAGATAATTCCATCACAATTGAGCTTATAATACCCCTTTGGAGGTTTTACCCATCCAATATGTTTAGAGTCAACTTCATACTAAGAGATTTGGATAATTATAAAAGTCTTAAATTTGAATGCTATTATTTTCTTTATAATAAAAAATGTGTGTGAAATGTAACATTGTACATCTTGGTTAATCATTGTATGTTCTCAATGATTATGTGGAATGTGTTATTTTGGAGTAGTTGTTGAGGGACTTTGGGAGTCGAGGAGCTCTTGAAAAGTTTTAGGTGTTTAAAGGGTTTCTTTGTGTATAGGTTTAGTTTGACCCCAATGGAAGAAGTATATAAGGTTTATTTTGAGAATTGAACTTCATAAGTTCATTCTCAAGATTCCTAGAGAGATAAACTAGAGAGAGAAGGTCTGGAATCTAATCTTTCTTCTTCTACTTTCTAGGTCTCCCTGATGCGTAAGAATTATTGTTAGCTATTGATTCAAAGTTGGATAGTTAAGAATCAAGGTGGTGTAGGTGTGAAGCTTGCATTTACTTGAAGCTTAGAATCAATCTTCTTTTTCCTTCTTCATCCCTTTGCTTGGAGTTAAGATAAAGGAAGCTACAACTTGAATCTTTTATTGATAGATGAGCTATATGTGCCTTGAATTCATTTAATGCATGATTGTATCAATGATTTAGAGGTGTGGATTATTGTTTGTTGAACTTGGGTGGTTTGAGTTCATGAAGGTGAATCTTGGTGATTTATTTGAGTTGTTGTCGCATGTAGCCAGTTTGGTGCGAATTGAGTCATGGATGATGTATATGTTATCTAGTTTTGCATTCTTGGAATCTTCTATTTTTCAAATGGTTTGAGTCAAATTCATGAGTCTGCAAGTGTAGAATTTGTGCCAAGTGCACCTTCATGGCATAAGGTGTGGAATCAGGTTCCTTTGTCTTGCTCATATAGGATGCAAGATTGGTGACATCAAGCGTAAAGAAAGAGAATGGCCTTTGACTCAGTCACATTTGGTGTGGTTTGAATGGTGTCATGCATGAGGAGAGAGAACAATCTCGGGTTGGTTTAGGGTTAGGCATGGGCGCAATGGCCTAGGGGGTCTTCACCTAATCCATACTAGGCATGTGTTGTATGGTATCAAGCACAGGAGAGGAAGAAAACTCCTTACCTCGATGATGTTGGGTATTGGGTGTGTGACATTGGGCACAAGTTTCTTAATGATATCTTATTGTTTGATGAATTAAATAGTAAGCATGGATAAGTTAGGTGAATCTATTGCATGTTGTATGTTGATTTGGCGATAACTATTATATGTATGTTGAGCATGGATAACATATATAGATGATTGTATGATTGGATTATTGGGATCCATTGGTATGCCATAAATTAATTTCTGTTGATACTTCTATATACATTAACTTGGGGTAATACATATAAATGTATGTTGTTGAGGTGTGATGTTGAAAGTGCTATAAGAATTTAGGCATGATTTGTTGACTTGTTGAGGTGTTGATGTTGATAATGTTATATGCATGTAATCATGTTGATTGACTAAGGACTAAAAGAGATGTTATTTTTGAAAGTTGGATATCCTATTGTGAGGATATTAGTGTGGCGCTCTAAGAGGCTAGTTCTTGAAAAACTCTCCTTGAGTAGGTGTTAAACTCTTAGAGTGAATTGATGAGTCTAATCTAGATCCTTATTCAATGTTAGAGTAAGGTATGAAGTCAAGAGTTACAACCCTTAACTGATTACTGAAGAGGTGCATGGTATCATGAGGATACTTAGCTGGATTACAGTCCATAAAGGATTTGGTTAATGCATGCCAATGTCGTGATAAGCCCACACCCAAGCTATGTTATACCTAATGGTGGTACTAGACCTTCCTAGTTTAAATGGCGACATCTAAGAAATCATGTGTAGTGATTGATATCCCAATTTAGTTGTCAATCTAAGAGGAATGTAAGACGTGAAAACAATCAAATTGGTTTGATAGGGTCAAGCTACTTAGACTATTCAAGTGTTATAAGAGATCCCCATAGATGAATGCGTAACAACGCATTAGTTGAGGTGTATGCATATGTTGTGGTGTGATGTATTTGTTGTTCATATGCTTTGGTGATTATATTGTTGAATGACATGGTTGTGGTATAAGTTTGAACTGCTAGAGTTGTTTTACTTTTATACTTATTGAGTGTTGTATGATGTGAATCATGGGGGCATAATGAGTGGTTTACACATTTTGGTGTTGGTAGTATAAAGTATTTCATCTATATTTATATTATGTTGATTCTTTTGAAATTTAGCTTACCCTTGCATGTTTCCTAGTGGTTGAATTCCGATGATCATGTTTACATAGGAGCAGGATAGGATTAGGTGAAGATGGACAGGAGCTTTGGTGAGTCATGTTGTTGACATTGTAGCCCCAGACTACTTTTGTTTATTTTGATATAGTTGCTTGATTGGCACCTAGGATCATATAGTATAATTTTGGATTACTATGTGTGTGTGTGTATATATATATATAATGTTTTCCAAAATCTATAACTTTATGAACCTTAGGTAGGAATCGTATTTTTATTTGTTCCGTTGTTAGTAGGTGATTCCATTAAGTATATGAATCATGACATGTTACATGAAAAACTTAATTAACATGTGTTGTTAATAACTTTCAAGAAATATGATTGTTTATTAAAAATATTTGTTATGTCATGAGTATTTCTAGTTCATTGAGTAAAAGAAAATCTTACTTGCATTATTGTGACAGTTGCTTTTTTCTTATTAATTTAATATATTTTTCTAAAGTTTTCATAAGTGGATTAAGTGTTTAAAATTTTATGTAATTTAAGAACTATACTTTATATTTCACTATGTTAGTTTAATTTGATATATAATATACTATTTTAAATATAAGTAAGTTTCAATTATAAACAAATGTATTTACATATTTTTAAATCACTTAAAGTTTGATATAAATAATTATTAAAATGATATTTAAAATTAATATTTATAAAAATTACTCAAAATGTAAGTTTGATACATAATAATTATTAATTATTTTGTTCCTCATATAAAAAGAATGTGAGTGTTAGATAAAGATGTGACATTTTATGTTATTTATTAATTATATATTAAAAAAATTATTTACTTTATTATTTTGTTGATTTTTATAATTGACATTTTTATATTTTTGTTAATGACTCATCATTGACCCATGGTTCCTATATTTAACGGTCAATTTATTAGCAGCGGAAACATAAATAAAACTACC